AGATTTCCTTACGTAAGGAAAGCTGCTTTTGTGAAATAACCATGAATATGTTAGTCCTACTTATGACGTACTTAGTGAGTTTTCCCGCGAGCATATATCGTGAAATCCATTTCTTTTAAAGGAAATGTATTCAAACGCGCACCTGTGCTGAGAAATAAAACATAACACGTTATACTGCGTAAAGCGCAAAAGTTATTCACAAAGTAAAATGCTAGCATTTTGCGCATCTGTAAAACTCGAAGTAAAATGTATTGGCAATTCAACAACTATGTTTGCTTTTCGGATATTCCGGCATCCTGGGAGCAATGTAATTTGTGGTAGTTAATATGATTTTTACAAGAAAGCACCGGCGGATATGGCAATGCCTTTGGCGGCAGCGCAGAACATAGGAAAGACTGACGGACCGAGCTCTTGTGTGAACAATTTGCACCAATCAGCTTCAAGCGTGCACTACAATCTTCCTGCACACTTGCCTTTGTAGCTGGAACCTCGCCGAAACGCTACGCTTCTAGGGTGTAAATTTTTGTGGGAATTTTGAACAGCTGATCAACACATCATGCTAGCCATGTAGGTAGTGTTACAAACTGTATCTGATTTGGGTCTTCTAGGTGGAATAACATTTGGGACACGGAGTAGGCTTGAAAACGCAAGCATTTTGTCTTGATTTCCCTGCGAATTTAAGTCTCATGATGCATTTCCGCCTGATGCACACCACTTAATCGGAGCTTGCGACCACTGATTGCACAAAATAAGTTCACGCACGCCAACCTATTTTTAGATAAGGTGTTATCGTGTGCAGTCAAAATTTGCCTATATATGGTTTTCCAAGGGGTATTATAGGGATTCAAACTTGATTTGTTCTCTTGGAATGTTGTACAAAATATTGATCTGCTTAGACCAGGGATCGGGAACCTTTTTGACTCAGAGACCCATTAATGCAAATATTTGGAAATATATTTCAGTGAGAGCCATATGATATATTTTAAGATTAAATCAAATTGAATATGAATATAATAAGCCTCTGGATTTATTATTTTAGATAATAAAATCACAAAATCTGAAGTTTCTTATTCCAATTTTATCTGAAAGA